TCGTGGCGGGCGATTGGAATCATGACTTGGACTCTCTTGAGGCCGTTGGTCGTTTGATTTCGCTTGGATTTGTCGAGGTTCAGGATCTTTACGCCTCTCGATCCGGAATCTGCCCTCGGGCGACGTGCCGTGGCAAGACTCGCCGTGACTTCCTTTTCATCTCTGCTGAGTTGATCCCTGCCTTTCGTATGTGTTGGCTTGATGACCATGCTTGGGTTGATCATTCGGCCCTGGTTGCTGAGTTTGATGCTTCTCCGTCGGCGTTTGTGCAATTTCCTTGGCCCACCCCTCATAAGATCAATTGGGCTGCTGCTGATGCTCGCCGGCCTGCAGCACCTGTTGCTGATGCACTTGCCGACCCCAGTGCTGGCTACCGTCGCTTTTGGCAGGAAGTTGAAGCTTCTGCTTCTGCGGTCTTTGCTTCCCAAAACCGGCGGTTGTTGCCCAATCAGTTTGGTCGTGGTTCGCGATTTCAACCGTGTGTTTGTCACCATGTGCCCCCTCCAAAGTGTCGTCGGCGTGGGGAATTGCAGCCTACCTTTCTTGGCCATTCTTGGATCCACTCTATGATGTTTCGTCAAGTGCGTCGTTTGCAGTCATATGCTCGCCTTGCTGCCAGTTTGCAACATTCTCCCTCTCATACTGAACGTCGCATTGCCTTGTGGAAATCCATTTTGAATGCGCGTGGCTTTAAGCCCACGTTTGCAGAATGGTGGCATGACTTGGATCGCAATGTTGGTGAACCGTTGAATCTCCCTCTGGTTGCTCCTGGGTCTGCCATGGCTTGTCGTGTTTTTCAGCGGGTGGAGTTTGAGACTCGGAAAATTGAGAATGTCCTTGTCAAACAAACTCGTCGGGCTGCTTCTTTGAAGCGGTCAAGGGATGTGAATGCCTTGTACAAGGTAGTTAAGCGTGACATGCCCCTGCCTGTTGATACTTTGGTCAATCCTTGTCACTTTGTGATTTCCGCTGTCGATCCTGATGATCTCTCTCTTGAAGTTGAGCCAGCTGGTGTTCTTGCTGATCTTCCCACCTTTGTGGGGGGACGTCCTGTTGATCCGATTCATGTTGAACATGATAAGCTGTGGCTCCCTGATGTATCTGGATTCGATGTTGGCGATTCGGTCGTCCAACACCAGGCTGGTGGCCAGTTGCATGACATTTTTGCTGCCTTCTCTGAACATTGGAATGCCTTTTGGCAACGGCATGCTGACATGCCATCGGAAGCTTGGAACAGGGTTTTTGCGTTTGCTGATCGGGTTTTGCGACCTGTTGATGTTCCTCCTGTTGATCTTACCGTGGACTTGTTCCATTCTGTTGTTGCTGGCAAAAAGAATCGTGCTGCCATAGGACTTGATGGTGTATCCAAACTTGACCTTCAGTCTCTTCGCCCTTCTGAGGTTTCTCAAATTTTGGCTTTCTACAAGCATGCTGCTTGCACTGGCACTTGGCCAGAGCAACTGTGTGTTGGAGCGGTCAAGTCTTTGGCAAAATCTGCAAACCCCCTTGGTACTAATGACTATCGACCAATTTGCGTGTTCAGTTTGGTTTACCGTGTCTGGTCTACGATTCAATCCAAATACTGGTTGCACACGTTGGATTCCTTTTGGCATGATGATCTCTTTGGCAGTCGACCTGGCCGCCGCGCGGCCCACCTCTGGCGTGTCATTGTGGATTGCGTTCAGGATTCTTATGTGCATGATGTTGCTCATTCCGGGTTGGTTCTTGACCTTACTAAAGCTTTCAACACGCTGCCGAGAGTTCCTGTGCTGGGACTGGCTCTGAAATGTGGGGTTGATTTTGGGATTGTCCAGGCGTGGGCTGGTTTTCTTGGTGGCATGCAGAGGCGCTTTGTGGTCCGCAATTCTCTTGGGCCCCCAGTCTCCAGCACCTGTGGGGTGCCAGAGGGTTGCGGGCTATCTTGCTTGGCCATGTTGATGATAAACCAGCTTCTTCATTCTTGGCTTGCTGCGTTTGCTCCTAGGGTCCGTTGCTTCAGCTATGTTGACAATTGGGAGCTTGTCTCGACGGATGCTGAATGCTTGTTGCGTGCCAATCGTTCAATCTTGGATTTCGCTCGCTTGCTTGACTTGACGCTGGATACCTCGAAAACTGTTGCTTGGTCGACTGATCGTGGCATTCGTCGGCAGCTTCGTCAATCGGGTTTCACTGTGTCTTTGTCAGGGCGTGACCTGGGGGCCCATGTGGTGTATTCTCGGCAGATCCGGAACCAGACTATCCAGCTTCGGATTTCTGACCTCCAAGACTTCTGGAACAAATTGCGGGGTGCTTTTGGTGCGTACAAGCAAAAGGTTCGTGTTGTGGTTACTGCGGCTTGGCCGCGAATTTTTCATGGAATCAGTGCTAGTGTGCTTGGCTTGAAACACTTTGCTGAACTTCGCACTGAGTTCATGCGTGCGGTTGACGCTGCTCGCCCGCAAGCGAGCCCGTATCTCCACATGATCTTGGAAGGTTTGCATTTGGATCCACAACTCTATGCTATCATTGCGACCTTTCGTGACTTTCGTGACTTTGGGTGCGCTCCTGACCAACTTGTTACTTTGAATGACGTTGCTGCTGGGCTCGGTGGTGCCCCTAATGGTGTTGCTGAGATTCTCCTCATGCGTGTTCATCAGCTTGGTTGGAAGTTGGGAGTTGATGGCTTAGTCACTGACAGGTTTGGTAGCTTCTTTTTGCACTTGCTTAATTTTTCCGAGCTGCTTCAGCGTGTTGCATGTGCTTGGCAGCTGGTTGTGAGTGAACATGTGAAGCATCGTGCGCCCTTCTCCACATTTCATTTGGTTGATGTTGGCGCCACGACTGTTGACTTGCACTCTCGTGATGCTAGCTCTCAAGGGTCTCTTCGGAAAAATTTGAATGGTGGTGCCTTTGCGAACGATGTCGCTTGGAAATGGTCGGTTAGTGGTGACAAAGCGTGCCGGGCTTGTGGAGTTGAAGATACCTTGTATCACCGGTACTGGCAATGTCCTTCCACCCAACACCTGCGGGATTCTTTGGATCCTCAGGTTCTGTCTGTGCTTGATGACTTGCCTCCTGTCCTGACTGTGCATGGCTGGACTTTGTCGTCCCCTTTTGCTGATGAGTGGCGCTGTCGTCTCATTGCTTTGCCTGATGTTGTCCCATCTTGTGTCTGTGATTTGACTGGCGATGGTCCTTTGCATTTGTTCACTGACGGCAGTTGTTTTTGGCCGTCAGAGCCAGCGTATCGTCTTGCTGCTTGGAGCGTCTGTGTCGCTGCTTCCTGTTCTGGTTCTGACGCTTTCACCAGTCATGTGGCTGGTGGTGGCTGCCTCTCAGGCTTGACTCAGACAGCATTTCGAGCTGAATTGTATGCAGTCTGCGCTGCCTTGACTTATGGTGCGTTGACCTCTCGGCCGATCGTTGTCTATAGTGATTGTAAATCTGTTGTGACTCGAGCGTGTGCTATGCAGCATGGGGTGTGTTGCCATAAACCTAACGTGCATAATTCGGACTTGTGGCAGTGGCTTGCGGATCTTCTTGTGCAGGTAGGTCCCAGGGGGCAGTTTGTCAAGGTGAAGGCCCCTGTTGATTTGGCACAGACCTCATCCCATCGAGATTTGTGGCTTGGCTATCACAATCTGTGTGCAGACAGAGCAGCGGTTGTTTGCAATCAGGACCGCGGCAGCAGTTTCTGGGATTTTTGGCGGAAACATGTGGAGCTTGTGAGCAGACATGAGTTTGTTGGTCGTCACATCCGAGATCACATTGTTGCTGTGAACCTGGCTTGGTTTTCTGACCCAGATATGAGGGATGTGGCGCCTGATCAGCCTATTGTTGCCCCCGCTGTACCAGCAGGAGCTGCTGCTCGCCCTGGTGTTTGGGGATGGCAGGAGTCGCTGAGTTTGCCTCGGAAATTTTCTGGGGTTTATGGTGCAGCCTATGCGGATGTGCTTGTGCAATGGTGCAATGGGCTTTTTCTGCCTGGACAAGATGGAGCCCAGTGGGTGTCTTTTGCTGAGCTTTTTGTTGATTTCCAGCGGCATACCGGTCATTTTGGCCCATTGCTCATTTCTGGCAAGTGGCGTAACCCTGCTGTTAATTTGGACTGTTTACCACAGAGGTTCAGCTTTAGGGCTCGGTGCAAGTGGTTTCGTCTGAGCTTGCAGGCGTTGTGGAAAACTGCTCAAGTGACTGTAAGCAGGCAGACACGTCGATCCCAGTCGTCATATTGCATTCATGCTCATGTTGGCTGTGCATTTGTCCAGTGTCGTGCTGATCGACTTCGTCAGACGAATGATGCTATCGTTGCGTTTGCCAAAAAGCCAATTCTTGGTCAGGGCGAAGCACTTGACCAGCTGCCTTGGCAGTTTCACACATGAACGTTGTGTTGATAGATGAAGCTTCGCTGCGAACTTCCTCAGCAAGCTGACGTTGGCGGGGAGTCAAAAAAGATTGTTTATTTTCCATAATATATGGGATAATCCTTCCCATTGACTAATATTTTTCAGAGGGGTTCAAACCACCAACCAGTTGACATCAGGGTAGGGATTTGAGATTCAGCGGACTTTATTTTGAGCGCGAATCTTGGTCTGAAGACAACACGAGCGACGGGAACTGCTAGATTGAACTTGATTCTGAGAGGTATGATCATTTTCCACTCAAATGGTACAACCCCAAATGAAACAGCCCAAGGGTGACTAAAAATCTGGGCCCCATGACATGGTTTCTGTTTCGGTGGGGCCTTTGGTATCCGATACGGCTGCGCCTCGACTCCATGTTGTATACGTCCGGATGCTCAGATCGGTGGGCGTTTGGGGATGCAGCGACTGGCCTTGCGACTTGTCATGTGGGTATGGATCAATACCTATTAATACCATTTTTAGGGGGATGAACATCCATAAATCCCAGCTATTTTGATGTGAACTACAGGGGTACTATTGGTTTTGACACACTGCCATGTCATGGTGGCTCAAGATCCCAATGTCTGCCAAGTCCACTGCCAAGTCTGCAGAGTCCACATGCCTCGGATTCTTATCTTGTTTTTTTTGATAGATCTGATAGCTTCCTCCCGTGTGGATGTGACCTGGCCACGAGGAGAAAGGGCAGCTCGGGGCTATAGATGCACTTGTGATGGCCACTACGACCCTACCAGTTGTTGCCTCTTCGGCTTGGAGTGTAGCAACAAGACTCGCACTTGCGAGCCCTACAAGTTGCCTGAGAAAGGTGAAGCATCTCAGATTTGAGCTGAGTGATTTTTAGAGGTTCCCATTCCCATGTGTTGCATACATGGAATATTTATGAATATTTACCCCAACGATAATTGACATGTATAGTAGGTAAATATCATATGGAGCATTTGCGATTGGTAAATCCAACATTTGAATTTGGTGAACTTGGGAGAATCTGTCGGGAATGTTTTTTTTTTTTGGGGGGGCCAACTTCAGAGAATCACAGGCATGTAAGTGTTGGAAGGGACAACATTTGCCGGGAGATTGCTGTGCCCCGGGCTTGGTTTGCAGTAAGAGCAGTGGAACCTGCAAGCCTCTTAGATTTTAAGCTGAGCCGTAGTTTTTTTTGATTTTCCCACTGGTTAATCCACCATAAACCTCGTAATCCCAATTTGACTCATGGATCCCATCGGGTTTGGCAGATGATCACTGGTGGCTAAGCTTTGAGTCACACGTGATCATCTTTAGGGCTGATATGGGCGCCTTTCTCAGCGTGCCTTTCTCAGGCCTGCGATCAAGCAGAGTTGCAACAGGAGCTGGGGAGATGCCATCGGTCTGACCGAGTGTGCGGGCAAGGGGACCTACGGTCGCGAAACCACCTGCGCCGAGCATCCTGACTGGAAGGGTGTTACTCAGTGCTGCATCGTGGGCAAATCCAAGTCTCTGTTGAAGGAGAGTCACTTGGGCTTAAGATGCAAAAACAGAAGATGTTTCCAAATGTAGGTAAATATACTATACATGGAGCATATGGGTATAGAAATCACATTTTACACCAGTTTCTCAGTTCATCCACCGCGGTTCCACTTCCCCAGTTCTGACATTTACAGATAGGTTGATTGGCTTCAGCAAATTCCAAGGTCCACAGGAAAGGATGACCATGTTTCCTGCTTTGCCGGAGATGCCCGAGCTTGCTCCAGAGTGCTGCAGCGGCTATTCCAAAATGGAGACGATTTTCATGAGAAACAACAAGTGGGACACAGGAAGCCACGTCCCAGCTCGTATCATGCAGAGATCTCCGGAGTTCTTTTTCTCTTTAATCCACCAGAACTGGGGGAACAGGGCCGACTTTATTACTTTTAAGATATTTTTTTATATTTTATTGTTTTTCAATGGTCCTGTTCAGCAAATCCAAGGTATATGCACATAATCCCAAAAAAGGCCGGCCGATTGGCCACAAGCTTGCCGACCATCACAAAATGATGCCGAAAAAAGGATGGTGAATGCTGGGGTCTTTTTGGGGAGCCAGTTGGAGCTACGAATAGAGTTACCCAACCACATGTCAATCATTGTTGGCGATATAAGAAACTAATTAATTAATATAAATTAATTATATATATATCCCATCAATCGTATCCCATTTTTATATCCCCTTAAGTCCATAAGATTCCATAAGTATCAAAGAAATGGATAGACATGATGATATATATATATATACCTTGAGAACCAAAACCCGCAGAAATCCTAGGGTGTCAAAAATAACCAGGATTTTCCGACAAAACCCGAGGTACTTTTACCCATTGTGAAAGTACGGGTTAGGTACGGGGTAGTACGGGTTAAGTACGGGTTAGGTACGGGGTAGTACGGGTTAAGTACGGGTTAGGTACGGGTTAGGTATGGGTTAACTATAGCTTGAAAATCAATACCCGTTGTCTTCAATCGAAAACGGAGGTTTTCTTATTTTTTCTGAAATACCTCAGGTTCTTGTGTTGACCCGAAGAATTCTTAGCGTTTCGGTGCTCTAGGTATATATATATATATATACACATAAATAATTTATCATCGCCCTTGTCAGGTGGATGAATGCAAACCCAGAAGTTAGCGTTTCACGTTGGGTCGCAGCTTGAGCTTAGACCGAGAAACAGAAACAGATAATTATATATCAATAAATATCATATATCCATAAATTTCCCATAAATATCCATATATTTCCCATAAATATCCATATATTTCCCATAAATATCCATATATTTCCCATAAATATCCATATATTTCCCATAAATATCCATATATTTCCCATACATATCCATATATTTCCCATACATATCCATATATTTCCCATAAATATCCATATATTTCCCATAAATATCCATATATTTCCCATAAATATCCATATATTTCCCATAAATATCCATATATTTCCCATAAATATCCATATATTTCCCATAAATATCCATATATTTCCCATAAATATCCATATATTTCCCATAAAAATCCATCCCATAAATATCCATATATTTCCCATAAATATATGTTTCCCATAAATATCCATACATTTCCCATAAATATCCATATATTTCCCATAAATATCCATATATTTCCCATAAATATCCATATATTTCCCATAAATATCCATATATTTCCCATAAATATCCATATATTTCCCATAAATATCCATATATTTCCCATAAATATCCATATATTTCCCATACATATCCATATATTTCCCATACATATCCATATATTTCCCATACATATCCATATATTTCCCATACATATCCATATATTTCCCATAAATATCCATATATTTCCCATACATATCCATATATTTCCCATAAAAATCCATATATTTCCCATAAAAATCCATATATTTCCCATAAATATCCATATATTTCCCATAAATATCCATACATTTCCCATAAATATCCATATATTTCCCATAAATATCCATATATTTCCCATAAATATCCATATATTTCCCATAAATATCCATATATTTCCCATAAATATCCATATATTTCCCATAAAAATCCATATATTTCCCATAAATATCCATATATTTCCCATAAAAATCCATATGTTTCCCATAAATATCCATACATTTCCCATAAATATCCATATATTTCCCATAAATATCCATATATTTCCAATAAATATCCATATATTTCCCATAAATATCCATATATTTCCCATAAATATCCATATATATTTCAATAAGTTGCTGTCCCAATGAGTTCCTCGGCACTTGATGGCTCCGAGGCGATGGCGATGGGCGGTATCAGCGCGGTGCGGCATACATACTTTACGAAACGGATAACGGATGATAATGGTGTGTCAAATATAGAAATTAGTTCTGTTTTGGATATGGCTATGAATCAATACCTATTAATACCATTTTTAGAGGGATGAACATATATAGTAAATATATGTGATATAACTATATTAGATTTCATATCCAAACAGATAAACATAACTATGATAATTAGTTTCTGTTTTGGATATGAAATTATATATACTGTACGTTTTTTTCAACGAATTAAAGCACGCTTTTCTTTGTGCTTTATGTCGGTTGCTTTGCTGTCGGGGGTTATCTGCCCTTGTTAAATAAATTTACATGTTAGGATTTGGTGTATCGCTTCTTGCAAGGCACTACTCTGATTATGTTGACTATATCAAACTGCAAACATATACTGATTTGAATTCCTTTGGATATTGCATTTGTTTTTTGGAACAAAAACCTTAATACATCATCAACACATCACTTTAGCATCCAAACAACCCATTTTTTCAGCCAAAATAATCATAAAAACCGATCAACACAAAGGATGACACATTGAAATAAGTCATCGAACATCGAAATAATATGAGCTAACAACCACCAATATCTCCCTATCCACCCCTTGGGACCCCCAAATTGTGTTTTACCTTAGTCCATGGCATCATGGCATCATTCTGGTTCCCAGGCAGAGGCTTTTAGCGGAGAATGAGGTGGGATGGGATCTGAAAATCACTTGGAATCCTTGGATCAAAAGTTGAAGCCACCATTGATATATATTGATATGTTCCCAGAGATTTTCTGGGATATAATTTTTTTCATCAAAATCACTTGGAAGTTGCCACATCGACAGAGCAAGTTCTTGAAGGATGTTGGATGCTGGATAACAGGGGACACCAGGGGATGCACGTGGAACTTCAATCTGTGTCTTGAAAGATTCAGATCGCGATCGCAGATTTTGGCCAATTTCTCTCCATCTTTTTACCCTCTGGTCAACTAACAGTTTGCTATTGAACATGGTAGTTGATTTACCCATAAAAAATGGTGATTTTCAATAGCTATGTTAAATTACCAGAGGATAATGGTTCTTTCAGATTCGTTGGGCCGCAACGTCCCTATGAATTCAACATCTCACCCATTCAGAATGGCCACCTGACCTCAGGAAGTCTGCTCGAAGCTGGTCTTGAAAATCGAGAAGTTAGCCTGGGAGACCCAGTGGTAAAAAGGGGGCCATGGCAACGGTGACTGTCACCATCTGTCACCTGGAAAAGGAGCTTTGGCAATCTGCAACTGACTGAAATGGCTTCCGAAATGGCGACCGAAATGGAAAAAATGGAAATAGAAGATGACCATGGCCATCCCATACTTTTCTGAAGACACCAGCTTCCGTTGCCCTTCAGGAACCCAGGAACCCTTGCTGAGCATTTCAACATACTGACTGTACGGATGTACAGATTCGAAAATGCCGAGCTTTTCCATTGCCGTTGGCTTCGTCGTGTTCAATTTCAGATCTGGAACATTGCCGAACCATAGGAAACTTTGCATCTTTGGTTGGTCCAGCCTTTCCATGCCTTTCCGATATACATTATTTATATAACTACATATGTGATATATATATATATGGTTGGTGGTTTGCAACAATTTGGAACCTATTTTTCTTTTTCCATATATTGGGAATTTCATCATCCCAACGGACGAACTCATATTTTTCAGAGGGGTAGGTCAACCACCAATATTATATATGTATATTGTAGATTTTCCTCAGACTGACCCAAATGCTCGTTTCTGGAAAAGCTTTACATGGTTTCAATGAAGTCACAGCGTATAATTTTACCCCATTTTTACCCCTTGGCCGCCAAGGCCGGGCCATCATCATTGTTCACAGTCAAGTCATCACGTGAATAACCGATGAACATCTTAAACAGGTGATATCAGGTGATTACATGATTAGCTGATTGTTGAATTAATTACTACATATTACTACTATCATAACCATGCGTCATCATTCGTCACTGTCACTACAATTATTCTATAGTTCGTTCGAGTGATAAGTCCTATCAGCCCTGGAAAGAATGAAGTAAAGGTGACTAGCGTAGCATTGTTTACTATAGTATAAGTTTGTATAAGTGCCGCTGTCATGGTGTTTCACGGTAAACGTTCAGGTAATGAGCCCAAAGTATGTACACATCATTTTTGTGACTATCACATAGCATTGTTTAATATAATATAACAATACAATAGTATGTCACTCTCATATGATAGTTTTTCATCCCTGTATATATATAACTATATATATAATTAGTATCCAGTATCCCATAGCATAGGATCATAATATATATATACATACACGAATGGGTGATCTTGGATGACCGTGTATGATATCCTAAGAATATAATGATACTATCATACTATTTTTATAACGTTTAACGATATATCAATGGATTGGTGGGAACATCGACACCGGTTTCATTCCATGGTTCCATGTGGTCATCGAGGGATTTTCCGGTGTCAATTATTTGTCTCCTATGCATTGAGGATATCCGGCCTGGTAAACTAACAGTTTGCTATGGAAAATCATCATTTTTGATGGGTAAATCCACTATTTCGACTGGGCCATTTTCAATAGCCATCTGTTAGTTGACCAGAGGATACCATCGTATTTCACCCTTGCGAACCGTTTGCGGTTCACCTCGACGGCTTGCGCCCAGGTGCCTCTGGTGCTGAAGGATTTCGAGGCCATGGTGCACGAGTTGCTTGGCGTTGGAGGATTTTGGAGCCGCTAAGATGGATCTAACAGTACCATGCTGGTTGGTGCTTTGGAATACCCTCTGGTAAACTGTCACATCACTATGGAAAATCACCATAGAAATAGTGACATTTCCCATGAAACATGGGTGGATTTTCCATAGTTATGTGACAGTTTACCAGAGGGTATGTTGGTAGTGAATTTCCATTCAGTTGGGAATTTCCATGGTTTTCCCAACTGACGAACTCACTCAGAAATTTTTCAGATGGATTCATATCCAGCTTTGATCTAATACGTTTTGGCTGATCATTTGTGGGTGGATTGTAATATACCATCTCTACCCGCCGTTCACAGATTGGCCCGAATTTCGTCGAGGTTTCAAGGATTCAGAATTGTTGGCAGGCTCTTCATGTTAGTTAGGGGGTAGCTGGATGGATTGTAGGCTTACTTAATGGTAGTTGGGGAGTAGTTGGCCGTTTTTTGATTGTACATAGTATAGATGGGTTTACAGGGTTTGCCATTGATCCCAGTAAAGAATCAGCACCTTGGCAGGCCATCGACCAGCGAGTTAAGTTAAATGGATTAAAATTGAGAATATTATATATATGGACTAGCATCTAAGCTGATGGATTTGACCGATTATATGGATAGTTCATCAAGATAACGAGATTATTATATAGTTAACATATGTTAACATTAAGATTAATAGCTTTAGTGGGTCAGTTTCTGATATGATCTGATATGATTATTATGATTTGGAGTCCCTACTCAAATCAAGTTACGATATTGTCCTTTGATTGGGATCCATTGAGGTCGAACTTAAATGGGCACTTGAAATCAAAAAAAATGTTGTGTTGAGACATATTTCTGTTGTGTCACCATTAAAAAAAATGGGGATATTTCTGTTGAGCAAGAAACGCAAGAAATCATAGGTATTTTATGGTGTTTTACATATATCAGGACTTCAACTCATCAAATCCCATTGAATCCTATGAAATTGCCCCCTCCCGTGCTAACCCAAACATCGACTCTCCACTCCACTGTTTTTTGGACTCAGGAATGAGGTTTTGCGGCAAAAACTCCAGGTGGGTTGGAGGATCTACAGATCGATGATTTGTCTGGAAACTATTGAACATGGCCATTTATAGTTGATTTACCCATTAAAAATGGTGATTTCTGGAAACTAAATGGGAATTGGATTCTCCCTGCGGCATCAGTATATGTACAGTCTTTCTTAAATCTGCATGTTATCAATCCTGGAGGAAGAATAGGGAAAGTACATCTGAAAGTCTGAAAGTGGGGGAATTTTCATGATCTTGATTTAAATATATGTGTGGGTTAGCCATCAAGAAAATGGCGTTTGACCGGGATTTCTATTGGTGATTTACCCATTGCTAAACAAACGTAGCTATGGAAAATCATCATCTTTTAACCGGGCCATGGCTTCCATAGCTGTGTTGAATTACAAGAAGATATTAAGGAGAGGTTTGATACATATATATATAGAGAGAGAGAGAGAGCGACCTAGTAACTAAGGGATCAGACTTGATATGAACACATGGTATGGGTCAAGCGGCATGGGGCACGGGCACGGGGCTCGCACACAAAGATCCACATGGCAACGGTCCATGTTATATATGTGTATCAGCCGGACTTCCTCTGCCCTCGTGGCGGTTTTATTTTTTTTGTTTCTATGTTTCTATGCATTTCAACATGTTTCAACCAGGCTTGAGATGATTCCCTATGACCAAGCCCTATGACTTCAAGGGTCAAGCAAAGCACCGTTGCGGTGTCACAGTTCCGATGAATTTCAGGCGAACAAGATTTCGTTGGACGACCTACCAGACTTCAAACCTGAGAAGTTGGAATGCTAAGAGCTGCGGCGGTAGGTCCTTCCAAGAACACACCTTTTCTCAATCTTCTTCATGGGGAATTACTGAGAATCCTGCGGAATATGATGATTAACATTGATTAACCAATGAATAAGCAATAAGATGTAATTGTTAACAAATATTATGATGAACATGAATCATCGGAATATGATGATTAATATGTGATGATTGATGATTAACCAATATGAGCCAACTCCTCAGGATCTTGCGGAAACTCCTTAGGATAAACTCTGAGATTTCAAGTGAGAGATGGCCACGTCACCCCTAATGGTTGCTGTTTAGGATTGTAGATTCAAACGGTGATAAGTCTGGGTAAATTATAACGACCTCACTGCGACCTCACTGGAATCATGGTTAGTAAGGGAAATCATCCCCAAATGGGCCTTAATTCAGGTTAGTGAAATATTATAATTTACCCAGATAAGTGTTTGGATTTCCTGACTATAGCGCTGGCGATTCCATTGGCTCAGCTGGCTTATGGTTTTTCGTCAAGACACCACGATTGGACAGATTCCTCATGTTTATTTTTGGCATGTCTATCATTTCTACACCTTTGAATGGTGGCTTCAACCATCAAAACTTATCAATGCTGGGATCACCTTCCCTTCAGATTTGAAGATATGAACCCCCCTGGAGGTGATTCGGGACCCTAACTTCCGCCAAGTCAGCAGTTACTGGAGGACCAGCAACCCCCAAGGTTTCCAGAAATCGGTGGTTTATGGATCAAGAGAATCTGTACGAAGCAGTTGTTGTATGTGTTTCTTCATTTTTTCGGATCATAAGCAGAATTAGACATAGAGAATCGCTGTGGATCCTTAATATCATTTAAGATCATTTAATATCTATTAATATCTAAGTTTCTCTATGAATCACATATAGTCACAACTTTCAGCCTTTGGCATTCCGCCTTCGGCCTTTAGCTGGCCCCTACGTGTAACAGGTGGATTTGTCTCATGATCATTCTCCCAATTTCAATTGGCTTGCCAGATCTCCAGGCCTTAGTTTTCTTCTTGGACTGAAAAAAGAGAGTAGCCTCTGGTTATGACTAACATAGCCATGGTTAAGCCATGGCCCTAATCAAAAAGATGGTTTACCGTTCTTAATAGCATGGGTGGATGTTCCAGTTGGCAAACTGTGAATGTCATAACCAGATGGTCAAGTTCTCCCATCCTGATCATCCCATCTCACCACATCTTCCAAGGTTCAGCCTGCCTGGCGTCACGGAGGCTATACCCACCTACACCTCCGAGCTGACGCTCAGCAGCCAAAACTTCCAGCCCCGCCCGGGGCGACGGAAGAGCGCCCTTGGGCTGAGGCACAGCTGGCCGGCACAGCTTGGGGTTGATGTAGACCTCAACTAAACATAAGGATCATATATATATATAAATATTATAAGATTATATAACTGGTTGGTGGTTTGGAACATGGCGTTTATTTTTCCATAATGTCAACCCCGGATGAATAAACCATGGTTTATTAATTGCGGGGGTATTCCCCCAATGTCATGATTTGATACTTAAATGGTACCTTCCCAATTAAACAGCCTAGGGGTTTATTAATCCAGGGTTGACATTATACTGGGAATAATAATCCCAACTGACGAACTCATATTTTTCAGAGGGGTAGGTCAACCACCAACCAGATAACCTCTGATCATTTGACATAACTATGGAACATATCAATTTGTAGATCATTTACCTATCAATTTATGAAACAAGTCCACCAACCAAGCTCAGATCAGTGCGACGAAACCATGTTTTTTTCCAAATCTGTTGCTGAAGGAAAGGAACACTTCGCCCCTGAGAATAGATCATTCTCAGAAATTCAACTTCTAACCCCAGTAAAAATAGCAAGGTCGTCATGTTAGTTGGGGGGATCGTATATTATAAGTTATACGTTATTCAAGGGTATACGCTCACTTCTACAAACCATGCGAAGAAGGCGGCAGAAAACTACTGTGTATAGCAACACCCCAAAAAGATGCAGAAAAGTAAAATGCGAATCGACAATAGTGGCAAATGGAACCTTTTCTGTCTTTTTGGGGATTACTAACTACCCGCGTGATGTTGGGTTCCAATCTCGCAAAAAATATCATTGTGGACCATTCTTTCAAGTACATATAGTACAGGGATAGAATACAACAAAAACATTACCACATGTACCCTCTGGTAAACTAACATAGCTATTGACAATGGCCATTTATAGTGAGTTTTCCCATTAAAAAAGGTGATTTCCCATAGTTATGTGACAGTTTACCAGAGGGTAACCCCACCAACGAGCCCTTGTTTGCTTCACTGGGTGGTTTGTCGACGCTTAGGATCTAGCCACAGATCCTGGTTACAAGCGATGGGTGTACATACAAGGTGACGTCCTCTAGATAGCTAAGTTGGTTTATAGCATTTTATAAGTCCGATTAATTTGGGTTTATGGTAGATAATGTTAGATTTTCTATAAGGGAATTTATAAATCAACTTATAACATCTAACTGGGGGGAACCACCTTGTAGGTATATATATATGCATTGTCCATAATAAAGAGACTGTTGGAAATGGCAGTCTCTCTCATGTAAATCCACCGATGATGTCCTCTGGTAATTTCACAGCTTGCTAGGAGAGATCACCATTGGCTACAGCGTCCTTGTTTGAACATGTTGGTGAGTATAGTGATAGTCGATCATCATTTTCGCCACAACAGTTTACCCAGACACACATACAAATTGGATCTAGTTTGTTAGTTATCTCATCTCTCATTATAATTATATATATATACACCATTATATAATATATTACATTACCATGTTCGATGGATTTCTAATTGTCACTCTATTTCATCATGAAACATCACCGCAAAAAATCCCATTTCAATGCAGCATTTTTTTGATGGTCAAAGGGACACACAGCTCGACCCCCACCCCGGCTGATTTTTCCATCTTCCATGGATCTTTCTCCGCAGTCAAGCGAAGAAGCGCAAGTCTTCCCTGGGCAATGAAGAGGCCCGGATCGTTTTTCTGTGGACCACTTAGACTTGGATGATTTCCCATTTTTTTGTGGCAAAGATGAATGCTTTTCATTGACTTTCCCAAAGGAAAATCCACTACAACTGGGGAATCTACAGGTGATATGTGTGTACTTTTTTGGGGGTCCTTCAAATCCAAGATAATGTTCCCAGAAATCGAGGTTGGCCTGACTTCAGCTGTTTTCAGCGGGGGTGAATTATTGTAGTTGAGCCAGAATATTGTAGTAACCCAAAAAAGGATAGAACATGATAGGACTAGAAAAGTAAGAAGAATCCAATCCGAAACATATTATATAATGGGGATTTTGTAACCCCTTCCTGCGGATGTAGTGGGATATCATCATCTAACAGGCACTTAACTATCAAACAGGGTCGTATTTTGATGTCTGAGCGATAATCAAGGAACCCATATCTATATCATTGATACTTCTTTGGATAGAATGGGATATGAGAGTTAACTATCAAAAATGCAGGTTAGTTATTATATCCACTGAGAACACCATGGTGAAAACAATATCTGCCACCTGCAAACTTTTTAAAGACATCATTCTTCACTACAGTACCCTCCGGCAATCAAACATGGTTTGCTAGAAAATCCAACATCTAGATCATTTTGTTCAATGATTTTCCCATTGGAACGTGTAGCTACTGCAGGGATTTGTCAGCCAGCCATGTTTGATGACATCGGCTGTGGAAGTTACGAACGTCATCATTTGTTCCAGTAAGTCCCCATATTTTTGTTGGTTATATCAAGTTGTATTCCCGTTTCTTTTTGGTGAAAAATAGTAGATACCCGGCCTGGTAAACTGTCACATAACGAACTGGAACATCACCATGGAAAATATGGGAAAATCCACTATTTCGACTGGGCCATGGCTTCAATAGCAAACTGTTGACATAACCAGAGGGTATATCCATCATTAGTAACCCATTATTAACCATATATTAACCATTATTGACCTATTATTAACCATTATTAACCATATATGTTATACATCCCAGTTCCAAATCTCCATTTTCTACGGAGCATGTCCCATGGCTTTCCCATGACTTTCCTTGGCTCAGGAGTTGGTCGAAGGGGTGAATGGCTTATTGGTCGGGATGCCCTGGAGCTGTTGACAGGACTTGGATGGTGAAAACATGTGAAAACTTGGACTTAGCCATAGATTTCTAGTGGATTTAGCCATCAAACATGGTGATTTTTAGTGGGTAAACATAGAAAAACTGATTGGTGGTTTGGAACCATGGATTTTTTTTTTATGACTTTCCATTCAGTTGGGATGGAATAATCATCCCAACTGACTTTCACTCATATATTTTTCAGAGGGGTAGGTATGTCACCAACCAGTTGCTATTCTTTGATATTGTTTCATGATGATTAGTGGTGATCATGGTGAACAATCATGGTGAAGAATGCTTGAACAAAGTGGTAAAACCATGGAACACCTGGCTGCCATAAACCGACCATTTATATCCATTTATCATCATTTATCCATTTGTGGATGCTTTTCTACCATCCATTCTGGGTGGTTTTAGGGATGGCTTCTTATTGTGCTTGCCACATGATTGATGTTTGATGTCCACTGCAGTTCCCTGGAGAATTGGGACTGAGAAGCAATGGTAGCCTCTGGTTGTGACTAACATAGCCATGGAAAAAAGATGGCCCATTTATAGATGATTTTCCCATTAAAACCTCCATTTATAAGGGATTGTCCATGGGTATGTTAAATAACCAGATGGTAATTGTTTTGACCCACTTCTGAAAAGCATTCGATTCCACTGCCATATTCTAAAATTTGGACGGTCCCCCAGGATTTGCGATCTTCATGGCCGATTAATTAGCGTTCCTCCAAACAAATATCCCACAATGGAGAATCACAGGGCAATATATAACGGAAAACACATGGACATCATGACATATATAGAATATTATAGAATCATATATATCATGGATATGTATATATATATATACATACAGAGATCATATGATTCTGGAAATCCCCCAGTGATTTTACCCATGCCATATCCATTATAGATTATTGGGTAAAATAATCATAAATAATCCCATATCGAATATCCATATCTGGGTAAATAATCCCATGATAGATTATTGGTCTGGTCCCCATGTCCATTATATCTGGGTAGATTATAACGACTCCACATTTCACCCGAACCCTGGAATCATGGTTTATAAGGGAAATCATCCCCTTTTATGGCCCAACAATTCAGGCGAGTGAAATATGATGTTTTTTACCCTCTGGTAATTTAACACAGCTATTGAAAATGGCCATTTATAGTGAGTTTTCCCATTAAAAATGGTGATTTTCCAAAGTTATGTTAAACTACCAGAGGGTACCCAATATCACCTAAAAATGGTTTACCCATCTCCATGATATTCCCAGCCTAAAACCAGCCTTCTGCCTGGCTGAACCCAGCTGGTTCGTTCACCCTAGGCCGTTCGGCCGACCACCCCACAGTCCAGAGATATGGCGGAGATCACCGAGTGTCCTGGAGCCATCTGGAGCCTGAGATATGGAACAAATAGGTGGCCTATTTGAAGGTTTTTATAGGGGTTTAGAGGGGGGTTATCAGGTTTTTATAAGGTTTTTCTAGGGATTTGATACGGATTTTTATATGAAAAATGCTGGTGATCATATGAAAGAAACATCTAATACTCAACAGGGGAATGGGATTTTCCACAACCAAACTGGTGATTTAACTCACACATATTTGAGGGTAGACATTGTGAAGACCTGTAATGGCTTCTCCGGCCATGGATGATCAGTTTCCTTTCGTGAAACACCCCCTTTTTACGGCACGGCTTTAGCCGTGCCCCAGGCCCAAACTCTGAACATGACCAGATGTTGTGATGTTGTGGTTTGACTCTGGTGCCCTAACGACCTGACACATACATCATCATATATATATATATGTTGCAGTTGGACGCAGTTGGCATCCTATCAAAGATTTGCGTGCCCAGGGAGGAATTAGAGAAGAGGCAGAAAAGGGAGCAGCAAAAGAAGGACCTGTCGGGAGACGGGCATTGGTCGGCGGGCTATAAGGAATATTAAGGACCCATCAAGGAATCCTATTTGGGCCCGGTTTAGTAGCCGCCCGTTGATCATTTAATAAAGGTCATGAGCCATGTTTTTTTTTTTCTATTGCTAGGTAACATCTCGGCTTTGGGTAAGCCCTAATTTGATGGTTTATCACTAGTTGGGGGGTGTCTAAGGATGCAGATAGCCCAATTCATGTTTCTGTTCATGGGAATATGTTGATAAACCATTGGATTTATGGGGTACCCTATTTTAAGGTCCAAACCCATTTTGATATTTTGCACATTGTATATTCAGTATATTCACGTATATATATATATACACATATTATATATATATTATATATATATATATTATATATATATATATTCCTTTTTTGGACAAACAAGTTCGTCAGTTATTTTGAAGATTCATACTGAAGGGCAGGTACTGTTCTTGCGTTGACTGGCCTTAGGGCGTGACAGTTCCCATGGAGAATTTTTGGTGGCCAAGCTGAATCTCACTACATCTTGAGAAAAAAAAAACACTGATGTCTAGGGACACATGGAGACATATGGCCATGGATCAGTACCTATAAAATCCTATGAACAGCCATTCTTTAGGGTGATGAACATCCATAGACACCAGCTATTTTGATGTTCACCAGGGGTACAAGGTAACTTGACCCCGCAAAAAAATGAATCATGTGGAGAAACTGAAACTCGACAGATCTAAGCGTTCTAGCTGGGTCCTGGAAGAACCTATGAGACCTGGCCCAGGACATGGAAAAGATCAAAAATTGGTCCGCCAGGAACAAGTCGATGCAGAGAAGCAAGTGGGGCTGCCCGGGCGATAGGGGCGTCTGGAGAGGCGTCACGTGACATGCGTTTATTGTTATTGTTTCCTACAAGGTGGGGGGTTTCCCAGTTTTTTCAGTTGGTTTGTTAGTCCATTTAACTATAAGACTATCGATACTACAGATGTATCATAGATGTATCCACCATAAACCATAGCTACCTAGTACCTAGTGATAAACCAACTTAGCTATTGTAAACGGGGGGCCTTTTTTTGCTAAGAATTGGGACATTTTTTGGCCGCGGCAGAGATCGAGCGTTTTCGCGTTTTACCGGGGGGATGAACATAATTAGCCATATAGGCCAGATAGGCCATATATAACTTCTATAACTTACCCTCTGGTTATGACTAACATAGCCATGGAAAAAAAATGGCCCATTTATACATAGATGGTTTAGCGTTCTTAATAGCATGGGTGGATTTTCCATGGCTATGTTAAATATATAACCAGATGGTATCTTATAAGTATAACTGGAACTGCCCTTCCAAAAAGATGTCCCGATGTTCCGTCTCTCAAATTTCCAGACCTTGTCGCTGTCAAAAATGGATTGCACCAGGTCGCCCCACATTAGGGGCTAAAAATGAGGTAAACATCGAACTACCATCCTGACATAGCCTACAACTTTTCGATATTTTTTGTGATATCTATACTATCTATGCATAGCTATACTATAAACATCTATGAATGCATGGGGGCCCTTTGGTCATCCATTTCGATGGTTTACGTTGAATGAATTAAGATGACCTGCAACGGCATTGGAATGAGGCTTGCGGATTTGGGCAACTATCCTTAATAACGTGGCCGAAATTCTTAGGTTGATGAATTATTGTAAAAGTAGTATTGGCCAGATTTATATCAGTAGAATTAAGTAGATAGATATTCCATCCATATATCATTAATTATAATCCATGAAAAAATCATTTGAATCCCATAAATATTCCATCATGTACCATTAAATCATATTAAATCCCATTAATTCTCCATTGACATACCGTTAATGTTTCATTAAATATCAAAACTACCAAGAGTGACCAGACTCTGCTCGTTCATAAATATGACCAGCACCCCCGCTACTATGTTTGTTGGTGAAATTTCAATATCCTTGGTTTGAAATTATGAAATGGAATGGTTCTTTGCTGAATCCCGATGTCGACCCCCAAAACAACCCAAAGAAAACAAGTTGGGTATTGTCATGTATTGTCTACACAGATAGGTGTCACGTGCAGAGATTTCCGCCGTGTCTGAAATGCTTAGCAGCGTGGCGCTATGCCCATCACTGCTGTGGGAAATCCTCGCAACAAAAACGGCTATTCAGCTTGGGTCAGGATGGTGAAGGGTCGAAGGGGCCCAATCATGGCTGCAGAACACCAAACAGTAGAGGCTTTAAGTCAGCCAAATGTCAGCACATCCCCCGAAAACCAGGATCCCCAAAAGATCCAATGGTGCAAATTAAGTTATTCCGGTGCGAATTCTACATCATTCTGAGAAACACCCCAAAAATAATCAGTAAACATCTTTTATCCTCTGACTCGACCATTAATTAATATTGTTTATTGATATTTATTGCCTGTACATCCACTAATATCCAATGATCTGGATACATTGTACTAATTTACCAACCCCGAAATCCGAAAAAAAGTGGTCAAAATCTTCCCATATTTCCATAGATAGATTCAGTGATATAGATGGTGATATGGAGGTTTCCGAATCCATGGGGATAGCCCTACATCATCTAGCTGTTGGGGTACCCCCATGACTAGGGAAACCCCCATGACTATCTTGTTCCCCGATAAACTTACAGTTTGCTATTGAAGCCATGGCCATAGACAGTTGATTTACCCATTAAAAATAAGGCTGGATGGTGGTTTCAAACATTTCTTATTTTCCATTTCATATATGGGATGTCATCCGAAACCCATTGACTATATACTCGTTTCATATTTTTCAAGATGGTTATTGCACCACTAACCAGAAGGTGATTTTTTCCATAGTTTTTTTGGTATGTTTACCAGAGGGTACCCCTCTGGTGATCGGGTTTCCCAGGTCTCAAGATCAGCTTTCGACCGTCGCCTCCTCTGCGGCCTTGGGTGAGCTCACGTTGGACCAGCAGGCCCCAGGGTGCCCTGGAAAAGATGTATGTTTATGGAACATGTGGAACATAGGACAATGAATGGAACATGATGGAATTCCTTTGGGATATATATATATATATATTACCTAAGATCAGCCCAAGTGGCTTGCAAGCAAATGGACGCCACGTTAGAGTATGGAATAATATGCAATATCTATTTCAATGGGTATTCTGTATGGCTTGCTTTCCAGTGGGTCAAGACTCAACACTTTTTTCGAATGACTCAGCGCATAGCAATTCTGAGCTAAGGAATCCGGGTCGGACTTGTCTCCGAGCTTGACCCAGACACGGTTTTCACTCTCTGAGTTTTATGGGAGTTTTCTTCACATTTTGAGGCATCCCCAACAAGGAAAACCATGGGATAAACTAGACTCTAGACTGTTGTCATGCTGGGACTTTCTTCAGTCATGGGGGATCCCCCAATACTAAAATTCGTTTGGTCATCCAGGACTGGATGATGCAAGGGGGTCCACCGGCCAATAGGTGGAGCAAGAGGGCAAGGTCTTCGGCAGTCCTGAGGTGCGAAGAAAAATCCTGGGGGGGTTGCTACATATATATATATGCAAGTGAAGAACACTTGAGCTCACATGCGCAGAACCCTGCCATGCACCGCAGTTTGAGATTGGTCAAGGAAAAGAGGCTGCGCCTTGGGTAGATACCGCTGTGCCGTATCTTGTGTGGGGCCTTCAGCCATAGTTTCCTCCAGTCTTCCTCTTGGGCAACCATTGCTACTTCACCCAGCGAGTTCAGACCACTTTGATGGTAGCTTGAAGCCTTGAAACGATCCAGGAGAAACAGAGAAAGAAACGCTTGACACGCCTTGCCTGTCAAGACAATGAGTGGTTTAGGTAGCACTGAGGTGACAAGGTCGAAGGACGGTGTCCCTCAGTGGGATGGAGATGCAACAAAGTTCCAAGAGTACGAAGAACAGGCTCTGCAGTGGGAGCAGAGCATCCCGTACCACAAGCGGTACCTGGCAGGGCCAAAGCTTGTGGCCGAGCTGAGTGGCCCAGCCAGAAAACATGTGACTGGGAAGCGACCAGAGTGGCTTTCCTACGATGGTGGGGTGTCGCACTTATTGCGCCACCTGAGAGACTGTTTGGGGAGGCCAACCATCCCTGAAATGACTGACTACTTGAACAAGTACTTCCGAATGAGCCGGATGAAGCGGTTTGAGACCATGAACTCCTACATCACTCGGAAGGTGGAAGTATACCACCGTGCCCGCCAGTCCTTGTCAAGGGTGCAGAAACACTATGCCCATCATCAACATGATGATCAGTGGTGGCAAACACCAGCCTGGCGCTCTTGGCGCTCATGGGATTGGCAGGGACGCAGTTGGCGCTCCAACCAGTCTCAGTCTCAGAATGGAAGTGAGGCCCCAGCGAGCCCTGAAGCCGATGGAGCAGGTGTCCAACCGGAAGAAGAAGAAGAAGAAGAACAATGGTATGATGCTCCCAGCACGCCCTATGAGGAGGCAGCTTCATGGCACTACTCAGCCTCACGGCATGCGACAAGTGAAGATGAGCCATGGAAACTTCACACAGAAGAGCTCTTGCCTGAGTTCCTGCAGGGCTGGTACCTCCTAGCTGACGCTGGGTTGGATAGCACGGAAAAGAACATGATTCAAACAGCCTTGCAGGATGACTACACCGTCCAAAGGGTGTCCCGTGAACTTCGTCTTCAGTGGCCTGACGAAGACCTCAAGCGCCGTGACCAGCAGTCCAAGTTCGCAGGCTTCTGGAATGAGGACTATGAGGTTGCGGATGCCGACGTTGACGAAAAGGAGAAGGCCATGATCATGTCCGAGCTCAACGACGAGGGCATGGTGCTGTATGGTGAAGCTGAGAAGGAAGTCCAAGAGGCCTATGCCATGATCCAGAATGGTCGTCGGACCCTCAAAGAAGCTCGTGCTCGCCAGCATGCAGTACGACTTAGCCGCCAGTACTACCGCACCAGTGGTGGTCGCAACTACAGCAATGGTCATGGCACACCTCAGACACAAGCACCTCGTGCTGCGGGAGAACCAGTATGTCTACGCTGTGGAAAAGCTCACCGCACCTCAGAATGCCCTGACAAGACTCGGCCTGACACAGGCCATGCCAATGTGGTTGAAGAAGCACCTTTTGTCTGCTTCACCGAGGAGTCTGCGATGACTGCAATGGCTGCCAGTTCCGAAGCTCGGAGCACTCAGGAAGCAGTTCGGGCCGGATGTGCTGTCATAGATGGTGGCGCAACGCGCACTTTGGGAAGTGTGGAAGCTATCCAGGCAGTGATGGACCTGAACGCCTCCAAACATGGAGATCAACGCTTGAAGGGCGTGGATGTGAACAACCGACCTCTGTTTGGTTTTGGCAACTCATCGCAGGATCGCTGCGTCTCCACCGCCAATTTGGGGGTGACTGCCAACCAGAAACCTGGACTCCTCCAGGTACATGCACTGGACCGAGGAAGTGGCCCCATCCTCCTGTCCATCCAGACCTTGCGGTCCCTGAAGGCCGTGATTGACTTCGAAGCTGACCTGCTGGTACTGAGAGGCTTAGATGACACTAAGGTGATTCCTCTTGAAAGATCGGCAGCAGGACACCAGCTCATCTCGCTGACCGATGATTTGTTTCAGAAAGCTCACACCTGCAAGAGTCGGGTGCCAAGCCTTAGGGATTACCTCTAGGGACAACTCCTCCCTGATCCTTTGCCTGAAGGAGAAAGGGAGGTCAGTGATGTTCAGGTCAAACGGACAGAACAGGGTAGTGTCATGTCACATGGTCACATGGAAAACTCATGTTGTCACATGCAGGGTTTTGAGAGTCACATGGGGGATGAGCGCATGCATGATGGTTGTGTTTTTGAAGGTAATCCTAATCACTCCAAGGATGTTCAACAGCCAGCAACTGCAAGCCAGCACTGCAGCAGCGACAGCCCAAGTGAACCACCTGGCGGTGAACCACACGCTTGTACCAGTAGTGCCCATGTCCAGTCGCTGGACCAAGCCCATGTTGATCGCCGAGATCGAGAAGTACGGCGAGACTGTGCCACCGAAGTGGTCCATGGCCGAGATGAAGAACCGAGTGGCCCAGCTCCACGAGGAGCATGGTGTGGTGCCGCCTCACAAGCAGCGCACGGAGTTGCGCGAGATGGTGATCCAGCTGAACAAAGCAAGCCAGAAGAAAGCCCTGCTGCAGAAGTACTGCCACGGCCTGGGGGTGCCAGTGAATGGCAACGAGACCATGGCCACACTCCAACGAGCAGCCATGGCGAAGATCTACGAGACCAGCACTCCCGATGCCAGCGATCCTGTGGGTTTCGGCAAAGCAGCTGCGCTCAGCTACCTGGAGATTCAGGAGGACCAGCAGTACTGCCAGTGGGTGCTCAAGACATGGGAAGAAGGCTCGACGTGTCCACAGCTAGCCCGTCTGGCTCGCTGGCTCGACAAAGAGCAGAAGGGCATGAACATGAAGTCCGAGCAGGGCATTCCCGTGAAGATGGAGACACACCACAACGAGCCTACACCAGTGAAGACAAAGACACAACCGGCAGCTCCGAAGAACACAGCCAGCCTCACCAGTGCCAGCAGCTCCAATGTCACCGAAGTCCTGGTGAACCTGGTCGAGGCCATGCAGGACCTCAAGGAGGAGATCAGCGAGCTCAAGAACGAGCGCCCCCGCAAGAAGGAGGCCAAGTCGTCAGAGCACAGCTTCGAGATCCCCTGAGAGATGCTGCAGGTGATCCCAATGTCTTCACGCCTGATGCCAACTCAGTCCCAACCTTAGAGGACCCTAGTTTCTGTGAGAGTCGGAGAGCTCTTCCAGAGGCCGCTGCTCGACACTTGGAGCAAGTTTCTCAAAATTTGGTTCCAGGGTTTTTTCAGGGTTTGGTTCAACAGAAACGCACTTGGTTGATGGAAGTGGCCTGTAGTCCCAACAGTGTTTTGAGCAGTGTTGTACAGGCACAGGCAGGTTATGAAGAAGCGGCAATTAGGTGCGCTCACTGGAACAACTATGATTTGAGCACTGGGGAAGGGGTTAAATTGTTGTTACAACGGGTGGACCAATGTAACCCCCTTCATATTTGGATAAGTACCGAATGTGGACCTTTCTCCCCCATGCAGAATCTGAACCAGCGAACTGAACAACAGAAAACAGAGTTGGCTGAAAAACGCAAAGAGGTTTTGCGGCAGTATGTTGGGGCCAGTTGTGTGCTGCACTATGCCATCCAAAAAGGGATTCATGTCACTTGGGGATGGTCCCACAAATGTCATGCCTGGAGACTCCCCTTAATTCAACGTATCATGGAAAAGTACCAGATGTGGGTGAGTGTGACTAACGGTTGTCAGGTGAACTTGCGGGACCCCAAAACGGGAAACCACCTCCACAAAGGATGGAAAATCATGTCAACCCAAAAAAGGATGGCCCAAATGTTGGATTTACCTTGTAGATGCCCCAAATCGGTTGACCATGTTCGGTGTGAAGGGAGTTTGACCCACCAAAGTGCTTTCTATACTGTGGAGTTTGCGAAGCGGGTTTGCAAAGCTATTCAACAGGAACTGTCCCATAGTATGGTTGTTTCCGAGATGAATGGGGATTCTCAATTGCCACCTCATTTTGGGGTGGGTCCCATGTGCGTTTGTGAAGAACTCAAGAGTCATGATCGGGAACTGAACTGTGGGGCTTGTCAAGAACACACTTTTTTGAAAAATTTGGGTACCGAGAACCATAACCCCGAAGAACATGCTTGGGTCCAACATGGGGATTTAAAGGGTTCTAAAGTTGATGAAGACCGAATCAACAAGCAGCTGTACCAACTGCATGCCGCCACGGGTCATGGAAGTGTTCGTCACATGATTGATGCGTTGAAAAAGCGGGGTGCCCCTGAACATGTCATGGTGTTGGCTAGGAAATTCACTTGTCATGTGTGTCAAGAAAGAACCCGAATTTCCCATAAACATGTTGCTACTCTCGAACCTCTCCCACCAAAATGGAGTGTCATCAGTGCGGACGGGGGAAAATGGATTCACCCGACCACCGGAGAACATGTGGAATTTGCTTTGATCATTGATGAGGGTTCCCAATTTAGAGCGGCTAGAATCTTGTGTAAAGGAAAACACCAAACCATGAGTGCAGCCATGTTTTTGAGTTACCTTCAAGAAGGGTGGTGCCAGTACTTTGGAAATCCACAAGCCATCCGGCTCGATCCAGCCGGAGCTTTCCGCAGCAATGAAGTAGAACGTTTTTGTGACTTGCATGGCATGTACCTGGATTTTATACCTGGAGAGGCACACTGGAAATTGGGAACATGCGAGCAAGCAATACAAGGTGTCAAGAACCTTATGTCCAAGCTCATCCAGGAGCAACCACAACTATCGGCAGAAGTGGTCCTCAGCCAAGCTGTCAAGACTTTTAACAGTCGTGACCTGGTCAGAGGGTTCTCACCTATACAACATGCATTGGGCCGAGCACCTGATGAAATGGGACGTTGCATACAGACCCTCACTGGACAGTCTGTGGAACAACTGGTTCCTCAAGCCGGCCCTGAATTTGAGACCAGCATAGAACTGATGCGAATAGCCGAACAGGCCCACAGTGAGTGGACAGCACAACAGAGGATCAACAAAGCTCTGAACTCACGTGGCAACCGGCAGTATCAATATCACCCTGGTGATTTGGTATACTACTGGAGAAAGCAGGTCTCAGGGCAGAAATCTACGTCAGCACAGCAGAAACAAGGATGTTTTCTAGGTCCAGCACGAATCTTGGCAACTGAGACCAAGCGGGAGGCTGACGGAAGCCTACGCCCTGGAAGCTCTGTTTGGGTAATCCGGGGAAGACGGCTTGTCAAATGCTGTCCAGAACAGTTGCGGCCAGCAACACAGCGAGAGGAGTTACTGGAACACATCACCCAGGATGAACAGCAACAGGCACCATGGACTTTTTCAAGATTGACACAAGGTTTGGGTGGCAACGAGTTTGAAGATATCACACATGAGCTTCCAGACCAACAAGAGTGGGAGGAAGCGCAAGACTCCCCCATGCCGCCAGCAGGCCCACCGGAAACCCCCAGACACCGAGTCTGGGGTAAACGCCTGGGGGAGGGTCCAGAAAGACAGCTGCCTGATGGGACAATGTATCAACCGGCCACCCGTCAACGAACTGGTGAACCAGAACTGGCCGATGGATTGATCACACAAGAATGTTGGTATAGCAAAACCACTGAACACAGTCGCCAAGAAGCACATGGAACTGAGTTCTGGGAACAACCAAATACCGCCATCGAGATCGAGATTCAGAATCCAGACTCGAAGCGACAGTGGTCCAGTTTTGTGAATGATTTTTCAGGCTATTTTGTGGGTGCTTTGAAACGGCGAGCCATAGAGGTCAATGAGAAGAAACTGTCAGTGGAAGATCAACGGAAGTTTGCAGAAGCCAAACAGATTGAGGTGAAAAACTATGTGGCCGCCAAGGCATTTGAAGCCTTACCACCAGACCGCCGACCACCACCTGAGGTCGCAATCAAAATGCGTTGGCTTTTGACATGGAAGCGCTGCGATGATGGTTCTTCCAAAGCAAAGGCACGGGCCATCTTACTGGGCTATCAAGATCCTTCCTACGAAGAGCGCGAAACCACATCACCAGTCATGACAAGACAGACCCGACAATTTGTTTTGACAGCTGCAGCTCGTTTTGGATGGTTGGTACAAAAAGGGGATGTCACTGGAGCTTTTCTTCAAGGACGAAAATATCCTCAGGAACTGTACTGCATACCGGTTGACGAGATTTGCCACGCAATGGGTCTTGATGCAGGAAGCATCACTAGAGTTCGCAAAGGCTGTTACGGGTTAGTGGATGCACCATTGGAGTGGTACCGTACCATTAGTGAACTTTTAGATAGCCTAGGCCTAGTCAAGTCATGGAGTGATCCATGTTGTTGGATGTGGAAACCTGGGGGAGTACTAAAGGGACTCATCTCAGGTCATGTTGATGATTTTCTTTTTGCAGGATCCAAAGACGATCCAGAATGGGTAGCCTTGACAACAAAAATTCGGGATCATTTCAAATGGACTGACTGGGAACAAAATAGTTTTGTACAGTGCGGCGTCAAGGTAGAAGTGCAACCTGATGGTTCATATCACTTGAGCCAGCCCGAATACGTGGAGAAGATCCCTGAGATCTATTTGAATGCCAGCCGGAAGAAAGAGCACGATCAACCAACCACGGACCGAGAGAAGACAATGCTTCGTGCCACGCTGGGAGCTTTGAGTTGGTTTGCGCAACAAACAGCGCCACACATATCTGCAGAGGTTAGCCTTCTTTTGTCAGAAGTAGCCACCAGTTCAGTCGAGGTGATCCACCGAACCAACAAATTGGTACATTTTGCCAAGTCCCGGAAAGACCATAAAATGGTCATCCATGCGATTCCACCACATGTGCCTATAGGTTTCTTTACTTGGTGCGACGCAGCAGGCCAAAATAGAAAAGACGGCAGCAGCACTCAAGGAATCCTCGTAGGCCTAGGTCCCATGAATCTTTTGGAAGGTGAGGTATCAAAGGTCATACCCATCTCATGGCACTCCAATAAAATTGAGAAACAATGTAAAAGTCCAGGCGCTGCCGAAGGAAGAGCAGCAGTCGCAGGTGAAGACTACATGTACCATGCGAGATTTCAATGGGGCGAACTTTTAAATAGAGAAGTGGATATTTTTGATGTTGATTCGGTGGTTAAAACGGTTCCTGGTTGTTTGATTTCCGACAGTCGAAACGTATATGACAAGTTGCAAACAGCTGAGATGAGCATACGTGGTGCCGAAAAGAAAGTGGATTTGGAGTTGTTGTGTTTGAAACAGTCACAGCGAAATACTGGTTTAATTTTGCGTTGGGTCCACAGTGAAGCACAGCTTGGAAACTCGCTCACTAAGGGAAATTCTAAGGAAATGCAGTTGTTCTACAACCTGAACTTCAAATGGAGACTTGTGTCCGATGACAACATGATGTCGGCTCGGAAAAGACGTCAACACGGTCTTGGAGCTCTGCAGCAGCAACCACAAAACAAACACACCCAAGAAGCTGTTGAAACCAAGGAGTGTTTATGATTCCCTTGTTCTTGTGTGTGGTTTTCCTTTTTGTTTTCCCTCTGTTGTTTTTCATGTGACATGTGAAACTTTTTTAGAGGAGGAAGTTGTGGGGATGCAAGTGAAGAACACTTGAGCTCACATGCGCAGAACCCTGCCATGCACCGCAGTTTGAGATTGGTCAAGGAAAAGAGGCTGCGCCTTGGGTAGATACCGCTGTGCCGTATCTTGTGTGGGGCCTTCAGCCATAGTTTCCTCCAGTCTTCCTCTTGGGCAACCATTGCTACTTCACCCAGCGAGTTCAGACCACTTTGATATATATATATAATTATATATATATGATATATTATACAAATATATATTATTTCTATTTTTTTTATCATTTATATTGTATATATGATATATATATATACACATATGATATACATGTATGATATGTATATATATATGATATATATGTATATATGATATATATATATATGTGGATAAAACTTAAATTGAATCGGGCTTACTCTGGGTTACAGCACAAGTCCGATTCCGATGATCCTCAAAAGCTGGGACTTGGCCAACAAAACGATTGGTAACTTCAACTTAAACCAGAAAAAATAATGGTGATTTAGTCCTAGCAACATGGTGATAATCACATGGCAATATATCAAAGAATAGCAATATCATCATGGTATATCTTTGCTATTCTTTGATGGTTGGTGCTTTGGAACCATGGAATTTTATGACTTTCCATATATTGGGAATGTCATCATCCCAACTGACGAACTCATATTTTTCAGAGGGGTAGGTCAACCACCAACCAGTTAAGCAACAAGATGGGGATTTAAGGCACCAGAAATGGGATACACCGTGTTGGGATTTTTTTACCAACAAACTGCAGATCCGGCCTTTTGACAAAGAGTGATTGGTGGTATCGCAGTGATATCACCATCAAGATCTATGAAGATATATGAGAAATGTACCAACAAGTAATCGACCATCATTCTCTGGTTGGTGGTTTGGAACATTTTATTTTTCCATAGATTGGGAATGTCATCATCCCAACTGACTTTCACTCATATTTTCCAGAGGGGTAGGTCAACCACCAAACATCATTCTAAATGGGGACGTAAGCCTCTGGTAATCAAGCATACCGGATGATCATGGGATTTGCCATATTAGCAAGAGATATATATATATAGTATATATATATAATAGTAATATGATATTACACTAATTATATAGTGATCGAAAATCTTCAATTTATGGATGATTTTACCAGCAATCGAAACCTCCCTCCATAAACGGCTCGGATGTCCTTCAGTCATCTTTCCAGAGTTGATCATCCGCAGGATGTCAACTGCCTGGATGTCGATATGGCGTATACTGAGTATACTGGGTACCCTCTGGTTATGACTAACATAGCCATGGAAAATCACCATGTTTAATAGGTAAACCATCTATAAATGGGCCATTTTCCATGGCTATGTTAAATAACCAGAGGGTACCCCCAACATGATGTTCTGATTTGCTGCGTCTGCCCGTAAGTTTTGGGGACCAACGCCATTTGAGCGGTCTTCAAAAAATCCTGTTGATGAATGAAAGGTTTTTATCATCCAATATTTGGAATTATTGGAATTATCACAATCCAAAAGCTGGGAAATCCTATTGACCAACGAGTGGAAAGGACGACAGAGGGTTCATTATATCACATAACGTTGTTGAGTATATCCCCATTGAATCCCATTAATAATCCTCATAAATCCATGGTCACATCCCTAGTAATCACCATAAACTCCCATGAATTCTTACTAATACGCAGCATACATTCAGAAATCACCATAAACTAACAGTAACTAACATATAAAAACCCATGAAAGCACCATGTCCCATGAAAAAGCCACCATTCAAACATCACCACAACCTTTTTAATCCATGGATCCCCCCGGATCGGCGGCGGCACTTTTTAAAACCAGGCTCTGAAGGACGAAGTTCGACGAGCTTTGCACAAGGAGGACTTTAGTGCCTTGGAGGATTTGGCCGTTGGGGATTTTCCCACGGATTTTCCCACTTTCTCCATGGATCTTCAAGATCTTCCCCTTTCGATGATTTTTCCATTGGGGATCTAGAATGATTTGAAAAACCTCCATTGATAGGGCATTTTTGCCATTAAAACTATCCATTTCTAGGGGATTAAACACCAATTTATGTATTTTTCCATTAAAACCTCCACTTGTGGGTGATTTTCTCACTTTTTTTGGGGGGGTTCTTGAGTCATTGGGGGATTCCCAAGTCACCATGGTTGTTGATCTAATGACTTGGATGAATTGGGGGTGCCCGAACTTGGGTGGTTTCACCAGGAAGCCATGTGGAGAAACTCCACCTCTCCAGCGGTTTCTGTGCTGAGGTCTAAATAAGTACTACAAGACCAGCGGCTGGGTTCAAGCCATCGCGCGCTCCTACATCTTTGAGGCGGCAGTTGGTAGGTGTCCAAGGCAGATCGCCGAAAAGGCTCTATCAATGGAAAAAAACATGGGAAAATTGGGGGGAAACATATTTCGGAACATCCTCTATAAATGGAGGGTTTATGATGTTTACGGCAAAGTCATCGAAGTTTGGCCAATTTTGGTGGGCAAGCTGATTTTTCAGTTTTTTTTTATTTTTTGACCATTTCCCCAAAAGATGACATCAAAAGTATGGCAACCAGGAGCTTATGATGACATAAACGAAGTCATTTGGGGATGGTCCATCAATCCCCTGAAATCCAAAAATGCTGGGCCATTGGGGATGGCATTAATTATGTGGCATTTTTAGTGAATCCCACAACTTTCAGGATATTTCCAGAGACTTCCCACTTTTCTATCTATTTTTGGGGTTGCTACCCTCTGGTAAACTGTCACATAACTATGGAACATCACCATTTTTAATGGGAAAACTCACTATAAATGGCTATTTTCAGCTATTTTGACATAACCCGAGGGTAACTTGGGGACTTGGTGAAGCTGTGAGATGCCTTTGGGAACTGATCTCCAGGTGTTCAGTTGTTGATCAAAGGGTAATCATCCCATGGATTCTTCCACGAATTGGCTGGTTAATGTTGGTTATATACTGGTTGGTGATTTGGAACATGAATGGATTATGACTTTCCATTCAGTTGGGAATGGAATGTCATCATCCCAACTGACTTTCACTCATATATTTTTCAGAGGGATAGGTATACCACCAAGCAGAATATCATCCAAGCATTTTCTGACCTTAAAATGGCATCGGAATAGTTCGATAATTTTCCGGGCTTTTTTTACTATAAATCCCTTGAAGTGGCATGTCTGATGAGCAGATTTGGTAGTTTTGGTAGTACGCCCTTTCTGATGTTTCTGATCATTTTCTTCATAGATTATAGATGGTTATAGGATCATTTTCCATAGATTTCTACAGATCATTATGATTATTTTTATAGATCATTTGATGGTTATAGATCATTATAGATGGTTATAGATCATTATAGATGGTTATAGATCATTATGATTTATACCAAGTCGTGTGTGTACCCCACTCTTTCAGCCGCCACGCCAGATTTTCACACTGATTCTCATTGGCGTCAACTGCCTTTGGAACCTTGGTGGAGGTTTGCTGATGAAAACTCTGCCGTGCTCAAATACAAAATGGAAAAATATAGGTATTTAATGAGACATGAATAACATCATTAAATAGGGGATATAGGATATGTATATGTATATATATACATATGTATGGTCTATAGATACATATATATATAGTTTATATATGTTTATATAATATATGTATAATGTTCGCCAACTCCGATTGTGTCAAAATTCGGGTATGCTCCCAAAAAGATCTGATTTGTCGCATTTTTGGGATTTGGGACATACTCTTTTCGGACGAGCCCACATGGCGAACATCACCAATCTTCAACTGGAAATTCCAATCTGCTGAGCGATTATTCCTCTGGTAAACTAACAGTTTGCTATTGAACATAGCCCATTTAGTTCGTTGATTTACCCATTAATAGCATGGTGATTTTCCAGTTCGCAAACTGTTAGTTTACCAGAGGGTAATGTGTATGAATGCGGAATGTTTTTCCGCCGGCCATGTTTGATCATACGCTGCATGGACAGGGATGCTTTTAGGGATTTCACGGCTTAGGGGAAGCATCCCACGAATGAGTTGAGCCCCAAGTAATGTTCAGGTAATTGCCCTCTGGTAAACAAACAGTTTGCTATTGAAAATGGCTAGAAATCGTGATTTTCCAGCTCGTTATGTGACAGTTTACCAGAGGTAATTATATAATTCATGGTATTTTTTTAACCCTCTGGTAAACTGTTACATAGCTATGGAAAATTGCCATCTTTAATGGGTAAATCATCTATTTCTATGGTCATTTTCAATAGCTATTTCGACATAACCAGAGGGTAACGAGTTTTCACAGTTTCACTTGACAAAATCTTTCAACACTACTGCTGGATGGTTTCATTACAGTTTTTCATCTTTCCAGTGGATCCACGGTAATACAGGCGGATAGCGAAAAACGTGATCTGATCGTCCTCCTTTTAACGGGGTTTTGTTCATTTTTTTTAGATGTTATTATCTATATAGATCTATAATCTTATTACTAATCCTCTATATCTAGATCTATATAATAGTTTATTGTAGTCTTACTACAATATATATAATATATATATATATATCAATATATGATGATCTATATTGAGAAACCTCTGTTTCAGATGCCGACAAATTGGAGAACTACCATCCTTTTTTGGGGGATCTTCGGGGGGTTGCTCTCCATGACTGTCTCAATGACACCCAATCTGGGAAAATTGTAACGACCAGATGGGACCGAACCCTGGAATCATGGAAAAAAAAGAGGAATCATCCCCTTTTATGGCCCAAGAATTCAGGTGAGTGAAATATGATGTTTTTTACCCAGATACATATCACTATATCACCTAAAAATGGTTTATTGAGGCCTTAGTAATCACCAAGAATTAGCCATCTGATTATAATTTACCCAGCCCAATTTGGTAAGCCTCTTCGAATGACAAGCGAACCCTGAGCCCTGAGGATGTCGATTGATGCGGATCTCAACAAAGCCACGTTGCTGCCAAACGCAGATCCCCTCTTTCAGGTGCAAAAAAAAACGGAATTGGCTGGCAAACATAGGGGATGTTTATGGTATTTAAGGGGAAATGAAGGTTGATGAAAAATGGGATTTGATGTGTTTTTTTTTGGGAATTTAAGGTTGATTGAATGAGATCGAATTGGATCTATGCTTGATTTATGTTATAGCTAAGTCGCTTTATAACTTTCATAATTGATATAACCAGAGTTTATGGTAGATGGTAGATATATCTTTTTGAAATAGTTAATGGGGGCAGGTTGTAAACCCACTTATAACTGGGGGGTTACCACCTTGTACGGGGGCAAGCCCCATGGTATACCATCCATTTACATCCATTTACCACCCATCTCTGCTGAACTTGGGGATGATTTATTGTTGGGTTGACAATCATAGTAGAGTTGTATGGGAATCTCCAAGTACCGTACAGATATGTTTGTCGATCTAAAGGCAGGTCCATGTAGAGATTGTCCATTACAAAGGCCGCCAGGGTTCCAACATGAGACCCTGCGAAAGTTTTTTGAGTTCGCTTTTTTTTTGAGAAAGATTTTGCGAAATATTTTAACATGAGACCTCCACGAAAGATACACGTAGGGTTCGCGAAAGATTCGCGAAAGTAAATTGTTTATTCGCGAAGAATGGCCGTTTGCAGATGAAGGAATTTAGATCAACCGCCATATATATACATAATGGCGGTGTTTGAAGGACATGTTGGGAAATCCAATCTGTTCCGTTCGTTGAAACAGGACTTTGACCATCACGGGTGAACCCAGGGTTTGAGTTAAACCCGTTTTTTTTTTGGTTTGGACGCTAGGTGTACATATTATACAGTTTTATATCCAGGTCATTCCAGGTCCACGCGACATGGGTTTGCTTGAAAATGGGGGATGAAGCCGAACAAAATGGTAAAGCAGTGGATTTTGGGGTACAAACCCACGCGATGCAAAAGCCCCAAACTTGGGTTTTCAAACATACTGCGGCCCGCAGCGTAGGTGGCCGAGAATCTCTTCTGCTTCGGCTTTACGTTCCTGCCTTGGCATTTTGCCTATCGAATCCCATGGTTAATGATGATGACCATCGGATTTCTATGATTAACCGTAGTTTGTTTGTCCGGGTATAATTGCACCTTGGAAAACTCTGTGAATGGGGAGAAGCGCCACACCTCATGGTTATTTTTACATAACTAGAGGTCCACATGATGAAGCTCATATTTTCCTTGAGCAAACAGTTCAAAAAGTGGAAAAAGCTCATATCTCCCAGTTTCTTTCAGGTTTCCCAAATTTCTTCGAGGTCGGGCAATTTACAGGCCCCACTGGCTTGACTGGAAAGATGCGCAAGTGATTTCAACCGCACATTTGACCGCGAATTTAGGAACCCATTGATCAGTGGTTTGCCCGAATATCCCATGAGAAATGCCACTCATATTCCAATTGATTGTTAGTAAACTCCATCCCATTGTCAGAGTTGTAAATCTCCATTTTTGTAGGATTATATTATATATGCATGTTTCCTGAAATGGGGGTACTGGTACCACTAAATCATCCATTTTAGTAGGATGTTCTATTGTAAACCAAGCATTTTGGGGATCCCCCATTTGCGGAAACCTCCATATATCTACAGCCAGTTGTACCACGCAAATTGTGCGGGTGGTGGAACTCTCCTTCTGCAGCGTTTTTGGTGGATTTGCCCAAAAAAGGGAGCCCCAAAAGTATCGTTTCAATGGAAAAACAAACATAGTAACATAATGATTATTTAATATACAATTGATTGGACTTGGGCTTAATCATTGGTAGATCCCCATAGATCCCCAACAAGTATATGTAAATCCATGTAAATCTCATGGTTTTTTGACTCGTTGAATCTCGCTATGTTCACCAGGTTTGAGCTCGGGATACGATTTTTTGCCTTGAAGAGAAAGAAGTGCCGGGCTTAGCTGCGGTGATTTCCGGAAGTGAAAAGGACGCTGGATATTTACCCTCGAGGAATACATACCTTGCTACCAAGCTATAGAACATCACCATTCTTAATAGAATGGGCTAGCGCCCAGGTGCCGCCGACCCCCCTAATTGGAGGGGGGTACTGTAGAGAGAGAGAGGGAGACGGACAGCAAGACAGACATATGGCCGTTTGCTTCTCAAGCCTGTGGCCTTGTCGTCGCTTTTGCGTGCGGGCGTGGCGCCTGTTGGGGTACCTTTTGCATCGGAGTTGGGCGGACTTTTGGAGGAGTTGGAAGGTTTGGAGGGTTTAACGCCTATAAGAAGCCATTGCTGCGGCCGTGGGGTGCCCTTGAGCCATTGCTGTGGCCTTGTGGTGGCTTTTGCGTGCGGCAGTGGCGCGTGTTGGGCTTGTTGGGGTACCTTTCCCCTGCGGAGCTGGCCGGACTTTTGGGGGGTTTGGAGGGTTTGGAGGGTTTTGGAGGGTTTTGGAGCGTTTGAGGCCTGGCAAACGGCAGCCTTGAACGCGTATAAGAAGCCATTGCGGCCGTGGGGTGCCCTTGAGCCATTGCTGTGGCCTTGTGGTGGCTTTTGCGTGCGGCAGTGGCGCGTGTTGGGCTTGTTGGGGTACCTTTTCCCTGCGGAGCTGGCCGGACTTTTGGAGGGTTTGGAGGGCTTTGGAGGGTTTTGGAGCGTTTGAGGCCTGGCAAACGGCAGCCTTGAACGCGTATAAGAAGCCATTGCTGCGGCCGTGGGGTGCTCTTGAGCCATTGCTGTGGCCTTGTGGTGGCTTTTGCGTGCGGGAGTGGCGCGTGTTGGGCTTGTTGGGGTACCTTTTCCTTGCGGGGTACCCCTTTTCCTTGCGGGGTACCCCTTTTCCTTGCGGAGCTGGCCGGACTTTTGGAGGGTTTGGAGGGTTTTGGAGCGTTTGAGGCCTGGCAAACGGCAGCCTTGAACGCGTATAAGAAGCCATTGCTGCGGCCGTGGGGTGCCCTTGAGCCATTGCTGTGGCCTTGTGGTGGCTTTTGCGTGCGGCAGTGGCGCGTGTTGGGCTTGTTGGGGTACCTTTTCCCTGCGCAGCTGGCCGGACTTTTGGAGGGTTTGGAGGGTTTTGGGGGGTTTTGGAGCGTTTGAGGCCTGGCAAACGGCAGCCTTGAACGCGTATAAGAAGCCATTGCTGCGGCCGTGGGGTGCCCTTGAGCCATTGCTGTGGTTTTGTGGTGGCTTTTGCGTGCGGGAGTGGCGCGTGTTGGGCTTGTTGGGGTACCTTTTCCCTGCGGAGCTGGCCGGACTTTTGGAGGGTTTGGAAGGGTTTGGAGGGTTTGAGGCCTGGCAAACGGCAGCCTTGAACGCGTATAAAAGAAGCCATTGCTGCGGCCGTGGGGTGCTCTTGAGCCATTGCTGTGGCCTTGTGGTGGCTTTTGCGTGCGGGAGTGGCGCGTGTTGGGCTTGTTGGGGTACCTTTTCCTTGCGGAGCTGGCCGGACTTTTGGAGGGTTTGGAGGGCGGACTTTTGGAGGGTTTGGAGGGTTTTGGAGGGTTTTGGAGCGTTTGAGGCCTGGCAAACGGCAGCCTTGAACGCGTATAAGAAGCCATTGCTGCGGCCGTGGGGTGCTCTTGAGCCATTGCTGTGGCCTTGTGGTGGCTTTTGCGTGCAGGAGTGGCGCGTGTTTGGGCTTGTTGGGGTACCTTTTCCTTGCGGAGCTGGCCGGACTTTTGGAGGGTTTGGAGGGTTTTGGAGGGTTTTGGAGCGTTTGAGGCCTGGCAAACGGCAGCCTTGAACGCGTATAAGAAGCCATTGCTGCGGCCGTGGGGTGCCCTTGAGCCATTGCTGTGGCCTTGTGGTGGCTTTTGCGTGCGGCAGTGGCGCGTGTTGGGCTTGTTGGGGT